AAAGGATATCGTTTTTCGCTCGAAAAAGAAAAAGGACTGGTGCTGTTCAAGAGTATGGTGAAGCATGATTTCTATTTATGTGGACATAGGCCATGTTCCCATGTTTGGCGGGGGCCACGATATTCTTATTGCTGACAACGCTGGTCAAAATTCACGCTCGTACACCAGGTTTAACGAAACCTTCTCGGCTCCAAATCCAGTAAAGGAAAAAGGATACAGCGTTAGGTGGGAGTCCCAGTCCCCATGAAGTAGAGGTGTTCCCTTCAATCTATATTTAAAATAGCAAAACGGTCCGACAAATTTCTCTCGGTAGTGTAACAGTTTTCCGTCAAAAATTATCTTTGTGTCTCCAGGAAAGGTACTAAGTGTCTCTTCTCACTGGGGAATTCCTTCGGTTAACAGACATTTACACGCGACAATGAAGATGCTTCTCTGGTAGAGTAATATAAATATATATATATATATATATATATATATATATATATATATATATATATATACAGAGAGAGAGAGAGAGAGAGAGAGAGAGAGAGAGAGGGAGAGAGAGAGTAATTTGACTTACGTAAGACAGTGCTCAATACATAGGAGTAGAGCGATGTATATATTGTGGGAGGAAAAAGACAAATATACTACCAGTTCATCCCTACAGACCTGTTTCGTGGTTGCCCACTCATCAGGGGATTTAATGAGAATAGATCTTTGCCATGGCTTATAAATACAATATGATCTAATTTATGCAGTGCGGAATTTAACAGTTACTCGTTGCGTAGGAGGGCTTTGTTTCTGTGGCGGCAGGAAGACATGAGTTCATTACGTTTGTTCAGTGTTGATAGTTCGGGTCGGCAGATGATTAAGAATTTTTCTTTTAGGCAGAGATTACATCTTTTACTTGAGCTGTTTTACGGCGAGTGTGATGAGAGAATGCGCCAGGAAATAAAGTGCTCGATGTTGTTGTCTTTGAGGGTCCAGATGTGCTTGCTGAGTTCATTGGAGTTTTTGTGTTTAGCGTGGCGGAATGATGCGATGTGGTTTCTGTATCTTGTTTTGAGTCGTTCTCTGTGAGTCCGATGTATGTTTCTGTCGTCTTGTTGTCTTTGCGCGTGACGGTGGCTTGGTAAATTACTGATGGCTGTAGGCAGTTTCCGTCGAGTGGACATGTGTTCTTTTGTCGGCAGTTGCATGTCTTGTTATTAATGATAGTGGCGGCGGCGGTATCATCAGCCTGTAGAGATGCGGTTAGGATGCGTTTGTTATGGTTGTCGATTATTTGTTTCGTGTTGTTCATGCAGCTGTAACTGATCTTGATTGTGTTTCGGTTGAAGATTTTCCTGAGCTGTGATTTTTGGGAAAGTGTTTGTCTACTAGGGCGAGGAATTTGTGTCCGATGGATGGATAGAACTCTTCGATGTCGAAACAGATGAAGCTGGAGTGTTGTTTATTTTTGATAGATGTGAACCAGTTGATTACGGCTGTTTTTCCATTGGTTGAAGTTGCGTTTTTTCGCGATCGTGCTGTTGATGCGGTCGAGGATCTTGCGAGAAAACGCAACTTCAACTTTGTCATGAAATTAACAGCGAAATAAAATGACTAAATCTGCAGACTTGCAACGTTTATGCAGTGGTCGACTGATCAACAGTTATTTTCATAAACTTGTAAATTTTTTTTTTCAGTTTGTTTTCTTCGTCTTCGTCAATAGCTCGTGCTATTACTCTATTGGAAGCCTAAATTTCTCAATTTTAACTGTTGTCTCTGACATTCTCTAAACCGTGCGCTGAGACTGTTAAGCAGACCACTTAGTTCTGATGATTTAAACACATCTTAGCCGTTGATTAACGAAACTGCTTCCTCAACAGTCCTCGATTAAGCTGAACCTTTTCTCTGAACTTTCATTTTTGTTAACAGCACCAAGAGGGCCGAAAGCTAACAGTGGAAAGACATTTCTTTCATCAAATCAACCCTCTTATAGAGAAATTCTGAGGCACACTGATTGCGTGAAACCGTAGTTTGGGTTAAAAATAATGTAAATGACCGGCACTTCCCGATTTATTTTTTCCCATGATCATTTGCTAATTAAATTACCTTTAGTGTATGATCGCTAGGTCATAGTTAAAGCCCAATCTAATGGCTCTCATAAGAGACATTTTAGACAGAGTTAAAAGTAATCCGGGATTGCACTGGTTTTGCTTAACTTTGTTCTGTGATTGGTCCACAAAACTCGCGCCGCTCCCTCAACCAATCAGGTACAAAACCAACATCAATCACGACTTGGTCACCCGCGTTTCCCTGCGCTTTAGGCGGTATTTTTCTTTCTGCTCATTGGCCGTTGTAATAACTTTAGTTTTGGTTTCACCGCACTCAATCGAAAAGCGCTCGATCAAGTTCAACGTGTAAACGATATGTAATGATTTAACATACCCATTCGTCTGGATCATCGTTTCGGGGAGGAAATTAACCGAGCCTATTGCTGGTTGGCCATCTTAATACACCCAGACAAAAGCTTGGCGCCAGGAACTGAGGAGGCCTTCAAAGCGTTGGTGAATGCCCGTGCTGCTCTACTACAGTCTCACAGATAACACTGAACAAGAGATAGACCACGGTGTCGATGATGTCGCCGGCTTTTTTCAATGACATCATCGATGGCGCCGACGATGAAGCTTTCACGTCTGCTTTGTGCACTGTGATGTTACTAGCCTATTCGTCTTAAACGTTTCACTCCCAGGATCTCATTATTAATTCCCCCTACTGTCTGCCATCCGATTCATACGATGTTAATTGGGAGAATAAGGTATTGGATCAACTGATGATCCCCTAATTAGCATTTTTCTTTATTCTCATCACTTGTCAGATATAGTATTGAAATTTTAGGAAGAAATTCTGTCTTGGTCACTCTTAGCAGTTAATGGGTAAAAGCCCCTCAACCTAAGTAAGCTTTGATAAAATGTTGATGACAGAACTTTACTAAAAAGTGGAAAATATTGCCGTGATAATGACCCCATGAATACTTTTACTGCTCCTTTCATGCGAGATTTTTTGTTCTTATCTTGTTTCGGCGTTAGGCTTGAAATCAATAACATTTCGGCTTTGAAGATAACTGGATTAATCATATGGAGGACAGGATTAACTAACCTAAACAAGAAATCGTGTTTCAATCCATGTAAATATTATTGTGAACACTGACCTGTACATGTGGTCCTAATTTTTCTTTCCTGTTATCCGATCTTAAAGAAAAGATAAATTTGTAAATCAATCAAAAAAAAAAATTATCTTCAACGCCCTGAAATTTTACAGCGCCAAAAAAACATCTTTCCTTCTTCGCAGTCGAACCAGTGACCGACTTGGTCACCCGCGTTTCCCTGCGCTTTAGGCGGTATTTTTCTTTCTGCTCATTGGCCGTTGTAATTACTTTAGTTTTGGTTTCACCGCACTCAATCGAAAAGCGCTCGATCAAGTTCAACGTGTAAACGATATGTAATGATTTAACATACCCATTCGTCTGGATCATCGTTTCAGGGAGGAAATTTACCGAGCCTGTAGCTGGTTGGCCATCTTAATACACCCAGAAAAAAAAATTATCTTCAACGCCTGCAATTTTACAGATTAAAGGTGGCTTGAAATTGCTTTCCGAGGCACCTATTGACTATATTCAAAGCGCCAAAAAAACATCTTTCCTTCTTCGCAGTCGAACCAGTTTCATATATTTGTTAATCAATGGATTAAAGTTTGAAAAGGCGGGCGTCTCATGGCAATCCTTGTTATGATGCGAAAGTTATGTGAAACAGTTTATAGGGGGTTCGGAAAATCCTCGCTAGATTTTCTCACAACTTCACGAATACCTTTTTTGAGATAATGCCTTGCTATTAAGTGAATTTCAACGAACGAAAGTGATATTTCCCAATTTCCAAACCTTACGTCTACAACGATGAAATCATTCGTTTCAATTAAATTCAAGATGAGCGAGTTTTCAGCTGTTGTTTGTTGAAAAGATGTTATTCAGTGAGTAACGCAGGCATAATGGGAGAAACGAAAAAAACGCTCCGAGTGCATTAACATTGTTCACGTCACTTTTAATGATGGCCACGAAGGTTATAGACAATGAAAAATTGTGGCCTATGTGTTAATATGGTGATTTAAGTGATAGAAGATGTAGTTCAGGGAATGATACAGAATACACGGAGAAAAAAGAATTTCCGAGTGCTCCCGATGAGAGCCAAACCTACGAACTTCCATTAAATAGTCATCCGCTCTACCACAGACGGTTATAGGAGACTCATGGCGAGCAAACTGAGCCGTTTAATAAGTTCCATGTTCACAAAATTCCCGCTTACTACGAAGATAGGAATGTCGGTACGTGATGCTTATGTACAATGATGTAAATGAAGATGATAAACTTCAAGCCAGGTGATCTTGTTCATTGAATGACTCAAGCATACTGGGACAAAATTTGTCTTTGAATAAAATTCAGTTGATTGTATGACGTATGACATCACGTATAGGTAATGACATGATTGCGGCTGCAATTTGGTGTTAATTAGCAGAAGTAAATTTTTCAAAGACAACGAAATCGCGCGAGCCCGTAGCGCTAGTGCAATTTTCGGTCCTTGAAAAATTTACTAGTGATTATTAACGCAGAGGGAACATTTTCCTTTTTACGCCAAATTGTACGAGAGATCATGCTACTTGTTAATAATTTACGTGAGAAGCATCAAAGAAAGTCAAAACAGACGAAATTTTTTCAGCGCATAATTTGTAGTTTTGTAAGTTGTAATTTTCACTTGTGTTACATGGAAAAATGCACTTGTTTTCATCCAATCAGCCGCACGTATTTGTCATGTATATTATTTTCAACTTTGTTAGAGACAGGTTATTGCTGATTAACATGTGAAGTTCCTTAAATCGTTATGGTTTCCTTAGTCCATTGCAGTTGAACAACTGAACTTCCTCTCGTCGTTATGATTTTCTTAGTTCATTTTAGCTTTTTCTTGTTAATTATTAATTCAAAGAGTGCTTTGGCCTGTTTAGATGGTAAGTTGTTTGAAGAAGCTCCGTGCTTTCGCTGAATTTTAAATTCTATACTCATATAACTTTTACCCTTTTTACAATCTTAACTTCTTTCTGCATCACTTCACTACTAACCAACCAAAAAATTGCTCAGTTTCGAAAAGGAAGCACTTAACGGTATTTAGTGGATGTGGATTGTTATGTTTTCTTTTCATCTATCTTGCACACGAAGCATAACAATATTACGTGTATTTTACACACGACATTATTTGAATATCGGTGACACTCAACAATATTGATACTCAAAACTCTTCTCGGAAACCTTAAAAATTAATTTGGGTAGCAGGCATTTTCTCAGTAAGAATGTTAATATTCCTATTGAGACATATTCCTAACTTCTTTAACTTTTCTTATTACATCACAACGCGGCGGAGCAGATGGCTCCAACCCTCACCATTAGTTTAGATCTTTTCAGAATTTCACTCAGTTTTGTTCACTCCATTTCTTTTTAACACTCATCGCGGACGATACGATAGATTCAAGCTATATAAAATGAACTAAGTTGTGCAAAAAAACCCAAGGTTTCCGCGTTGAGAATCGTTTCATGAGTCAACATCTAAGAATTTCTCGTTTTTGTTTGTTTGTTTCGTTTCTTTTTAACACTCATCGCGGTCGGTAGGGTAGTTTCCAGCCATATGAAACGAATTAACTCATAAGAAAAAAACCCAAGGTTGCTGCTTGGAGAATCGTTACATGACTCAACATCTCAGGATTTCTGGTTGTATTTTGTTTGTTGTATATCCTTTTAACACTCATCACGGCTGATACGATCGATTCAAGCCATATCCGAGTAAGGCCTCTCATCCTTCATTAATTATTAACGTAACACGTTAAGTCTGAGTTTTGAAATGCATGGATGTGTATCAAGGCGATGGCGTAGTAGTGACATTGGTGACCTTGCTGTATTTTAATTATTTCGTGTATTGTCCTCCTAACATTCGAAATTATTTCAGATAACTGCCGTTTATTAGCCTTTCCATCCTCGTTATTCTTCGAGGGGGAACGTCTTGTTAACCACACCATAGCAACCATCAGTGTGATTGACAGGGACACGTGCGAGTTTCGTTGTTACCTGGAACACAGCTGTGTCAGTATCAACTTTAATGTTCAACCGAAAGAGCCTGAGACAGAAAACTGTGAACTGAACAACTCAACCAGTCAAGAACATGAGAAGGACTTGATCAAGGCAGCAAATTATGTTTACCATGGAACGAATGTAAGAATATTTTACAAAGAAAATATATTGAAGCTCGCATAGCAACAAGGTGGACAATGATGAAGGCACTAGACAGGAGTGTCGAAAGGTTGCCTCTATGAATTGTAACTTCTCGGTTACATTCACTAAATCTTTAAACCAGAGTAGTATCAAACCATGTATGATTTTACAAAGAGTTAACGGACAAAATCGATTTAAGGATAAAAGAGAATAAAACAGACCCAAAGACAAATAAAGTAACAAAACAAGTTTGCTAATGATTAGTGCTTTCATCTTCCCCCTTTAGAATGCCTGTGGTAATTCACCGTGCAAGAACAATGCAACCTGTCAATCAGGTTTTACCAGTCAACGATATCGCTGCTTATGCTCTCCTAGATTTACTGGCCACAACTGTGATCGCGGTAGGAAATTATTACTGCTGTTTTCCTTTTAAGGAAACAATTAAAATTATTTGATCAAATTAAACAAATTTTGTCCTGACGATGAGTACAGTCGCCGCAATTAAAACTCAGATGGAGCCTGAGGGAAAGTAATCAGTTGAGGACGTGGAAGAGGAAGGAATGGGTACGGGAATGGGTAAATGGAAAAGGAACGTCCTCATTTAAGCATCAAGATTTGTCACATTTTCAAACGAGATTAATCGATGGCTGTCGAAATTTCATCTCTTTCCACCGGTAATTCACAAGTCTACCACTAAATCCGTCTTTCTTCCATAGCTTTCATCCACTAATTGACCATTACAAGAGTAGCAAAAGTGTAATGTTGTTGTGGGACTTCGGTTGTTTATTTTTCTTTAGTCGCAGATAAGTGCAACAGCAACCCATGTCAGAACCAAGGATCCTGTAAGGACGGTAAATGCCAATGTCAGCCTGGATTTTCCGGAGAACTCTGCGAAATAGGTTAGTCACACACTATTATTATCAGATGTAGTTTTACTCTGAAATCGTATCTGAAACTGCGTCCTTGAAGACAAAGATAATTACATGGTTATTTTTCGCATAAGTATGACGTATATAAATGGCGTTAAATGCATAAGTAGATGTCAACCAATTATCCTCACATTTTCAAACGAGAATAACAAACTCGCAAATTCATTAAAGGGACTTTACTCGGCTAGATGAAATTTCATCCCTCTCCACCGGTTAATCAACAGTCCACTAAATTTCTCTTTCTTACATAGCTATCATCCATATATTGACTACTACAAGAGCATTAAAAGTGTAATGGTGTTGTAGGACTTCGGTTGTTTATTTTTCTTTAGTCGCAGATAAGTGCAATAGCAACCCATGTCAGAACCAAGGATCCTGTAAGGACGGTAAATGCCAATGTCAGCCTGGATATTCCGGAGAACTCTGCGAAATAGGTTAGTCATACATTATTATTATCAGATGTAGTTTTACTCTGAAATCGTATCTTAAACTGCGTCTATAAAGACAAAGATAATTGTATGGTTATTATAAGTATGAGGTATATGAATGGCGTCAAATGCAGAATTAGATGTTAATCAAATATCTTCACATTTTCAAACGAGATTAATCGATGCCTGTCGAATAACGAACTCGCAAATTCATTAAAGGGATTTTACTCGGCCAGGTGTGTTAGGACTAGGGTTGTTTATTTTTCTTAAGTCATAGATAAGTGTAACAGCAATCCATGTCAGAACCAAGGATCCTGTGAGGACGGTAAATGCCAATGTCAGCCTGGATTTTCCGGAGAACTTTGCGAAATAGGTTAGTCACACCTTAATTACTCTGAAATCGTGTCTTAATCCACGTCTATGAAGACAAAGACAATTATGTGATTATTTTTCACAAATGTATGAGGTATGTAAATGGCATTCAATGCATAAGTAGATGTCAGTCAATTATCCTTATTTTCACTGGTCTCCATTCAATATACTACAGGCGATTTCCATTCAATAAAGACTAAACTGACAGCTATGATTACTTTACAAACGTTAGCAAAACTGAAAGCAAACAAAAATAATTAAACGAACTGAAAACGCAAAACAAGCAATAATGACAAAATTAACTTCACGACAGTCTGTTTGGCATTAATGATGATGATACTTAAGTCACACTTGTACCTAACAATAAAATAAATATATAGAGAAAAACACATTATTTTAGGTAAGTATTGTAGCCTTTGTTTGAAAAGTTTCTGCCGGGTGCAAAAAAAGGAAAAGAAAAACAGACTTAACATAATTCAGAAAGAAGATAATTGCAACAGAAAGAGAAGTTTATACGCATGCGCAGGGGATCGAAAGCGAGATACGGTGAGTAAAGGTGTAGGAATTGACCGGTAACCGCATTTTCATTAAATGTATTTCGAGTGCCTTATACACAAGCGAGGCAAACTTCTGATCAGACGGCCTTTTTTAGTCCCTAATAGTGCTGCTTTTTGTTAGTTATAGCCAATCGGTGTGACAGCAATCCATGTCAGAATGACGGCAACTGCGTTGGCGGTAAATGCGAATGCCTTCCTGGATATTCTGGAGAAAACTGCGAAGAAGGTACGTCTGTTATTATAAAACGTATCAATGAGTGAGAAACTATGATCTTTGTTTATCGTGGCTTGTAGGGTATCACGTGATGTAGAGGGGCTCATTCTTAGAAAACGACCATCGTATAAATTTTGGTGAATGAATATGGTATCGAAACTATCAAGGGATAATTTATTTTACGTCGAGTTAGAAAAAAAAAGGAATATTGGATGAATTATTGACACAGCCCAGTGTGGCATAAGTGAGAGCCAATTGTTTGGCGGTAAGGTGCACTTAATAGTATGTTGACGGAAAGATATCTTACTGCCCCTTTAGAATGAAATATTACCTTGAATAGAATCTCAAACCTTAGAGTTTTGCGGTCTAATGCCCCAATACTGAGCCACAAGCTAGATTTATGGGTTGTGGAAAGACATACACTGATGGCAACCCGTTTACTTCCCATTCTCGTTTTATTAAAGCACCAAAGCGCACTTTCTATCGGTTTACCGGCGTAATAACCTACGCGGGATGGGAGAACACAAGAAAAGTTTGTAAATAATGAGTCGGAGTGAGCTTTTAAGAGCGGTCTACTAGATTGCTGAACGAAACGAAAGGTTTTCGACCAATCAGGGCGTTCGTAATACATACGTACCTACATACTTTATTAGTATTCCCTAGGGGCTTTTCAATACTAAACAGCAAAGAACATTAGAATAAAAAAAGGAATAAAATTATGAAAAGCAGTCAATTAAAATAATTCTCTAGCATGCGCATTGTCAACTTTTTTTTTTTTAAATGATGTTAAAGATAACTGTTTAAAGTTTAAATTCCAAATGTTGACTGCTCTACGGAGGAAACGTCGCTGGCCGGACTTTGTCTTGCTTGGAGGAATATCAAGGGATTCTCTGTTTCTAGTGTTATGATAGCGAATAGACTTGCGTCTTCGGAGAGACTCGCACAGGCCAGGCCCTTCATGCACCTAAACGTCATTACAGTGTCTCTGTAGTGGAGATGCTCATTAACCGGTGGCCATTTGAGCTCGCGTAACGCAGGTGTTATGTGCTCAAATTTCTTGGTTTTTGTGATGATTCTGAACGCGAAATTGTGAACAGCTTGAAGCCTCTTGATGTTTGTGGCACTTGTGTTTGACCAAACTGTAGAGCAATAGAACAATTTTCTTAGGACTAGAGCGAAGATGATCGTGCGTAGAGTGTCCCCATCAAAACTGTTCTTTACCCTGTTTATTTGACAAAGTTTGGTCATGCGCGATGAGGTTGATAGATGTGTTGATCATAGGTTAAGTTGTTATTTAGAATTATTCCGAGATCCTTGGCACTGGAGACAGGTGTGATCTCTTTCCCTAAGAAATATATACGTACATACATACATACACCCATACGTGTGTATGTATATATATTTTTCTTCATCTAGAGTTGCTTTTAAATTTCTTTGGTACCAACAATTGTTAATTCTGATATTCATTTCTTTACGTGGTCGGATCGTCTAGCTAATGCTGCTCCCGGGTTTAGACCATTAACAGTTGAGGCTTAGTGGTACATGCTGTTATTCACGTGTTGCATGTACACGTATTCTGCTCGCAATGTTTTGTAGTCAAATTCTATCCGTTTCCGGTGAGATGTCTAAAAGGCACCGTGTGGAAAGAAGCGGCCGGTGAAATAATACTTTTTACTTGAATCCAATCCACAATTTCCATATGAATGTTAGAGGAAATGTCTCGTATTGGAAGTGGTCTCACGAGAATTTGAGGGAACATACTTTGACCAACTTAGGCCTCAGGCCGTTTTTTTTCTTGATTTGAAGGGCGCGTTCTGGTTTTTCTCACACAAGGGCAGTCTTGTTCACGATGAGATGTCCACAAAAAAAGATCGTTTAGGGTCGAAACAATTTTTTGTTGATCCGAGGTTTCCTAGACTAGAAAATGTATTAGTTTGCATGCCGAGCAGACCCATTTGGGATGAATATCATCAGAGTCCTGGTCGATTTTATTTTAAATTGAACCGGAAGCTCATTTTTGAATAATCTTCCTTCAGTCTTATCAGAATGTCTTGCTTGACAGTCCTTTGTCATAAAGTTTACAGACTGTTCTCAAGAAAAAAAATTGAGATTTCTCTGACAAATTCAACCGACGCCGTTCAAACTGCTCTTGACGTGAAGCGCTGTTTGTGTTATTTCAAGTGAATTTGGTCCCAAGGGTCATAAACATCAGAGACGAAAAAGCGAGACTAAAATGCAGGGCTAAGTTTAAAAAAATGGACGGTGACGCCAAGTTTCATGACGTCATGGTATAGAGAAAACTGTCTATTTACGCCCGCTATGGGTGTGAATGGAGTGTATCTACCTTTCTATTTAAAATGAAAAATCGTTTGGATTATTAAGGTAAGTATCCACTCTTTGATAAGTACCTTTTTATGATAACGAACGAACTTAAAATATGCATCAATGCTAGCTCCCACCGCTAAGGATATGTACCAACGTCAACGCTGAGCATAATGTAGCAAATTTTCAAGTCGTGGATTGCTCTTTGGAGCTGATAAGTAACAGAAGTTTCGTGTGCTTGAGCCTGGATGGCTGTATTATTTTGAAATGCCTTTGGTTTATTGCATCGTTAAACCTTTTTTTCTGATTGGCAAGCGTATTTAGTGTTGGCTTGGCTTTACTATTCTCGATCGTGAGGCGCTTTTTGGACTTTATGATACACGACAGGGCTTTCCTGAGGTCACTTAAAGCTTGTTATCAATCTTTTTATTGTAACAGAAATTTTGGACTGTGCGCTAAATCCATGTCACAATGAAGGAACCTGCATCGAGGAAGCTTTTGGATACAAATGCAAATGTCTACAAGGATTCACTGGTGATCACTGTGACACAGGTTAGGATAATCTCTTTTGGTGCATTAATAACTAACTGTTCCTGTAACATTTGCAAAGGCGCTAGTAACTTCTTCGGCAAAATTTTGTAGATAAAGCCACAAAAGTCGATTCTAGTTTACCGGAGATAACTGCGAAAAAAAGATAGTGCAATGCACTGAGGCTTGAACTGTTTAATCCAAAATAATTTACTAAATTGGGCAGTTACGTTAAGAGTCGATTGTCTAAGTTTGCTAATTAAAACTAATACCAAATTAACACCAGCAAAACATGTTTAGTTAAACCAGGTTTAACTGAATGAAAATAAAAAACAGAGAACTGAAAAACTGAGTTTTCCATAGGATTCAAGTAATTTCTAACTTTTATTTTCAAATTCCTACTTTTGAAGTCGACAAACATCTGTTTAAGCAGCTTCTACGAAGAAAAATGTTATGAACTGTGCCTAAGAAAACAGCTTTAGAGCATATTTAAGTTTGGTTGTGCATGGGGTATAACCTCAGCTTGCGGAAAAATGGGGGTTGGCAAAATGACTTGAGCTGATATATAAGATTTACCAACTAAAATGTTTTCTGCACGTAAAAAAAACAGATTTTAATCATATGTTGAGACGTTGATTACATTTTACCATTAGAGGATAATAAACATCTTAAAAAAATTTTTCGTTATAACTAATTTGTACAATGGTTTAAAGACTACTGGAAATTTGCGCTTAACTTCGTTTTTTGTGGATATCAACGGCTGTGCCAACAGTCCTTGTTTGAACAAAGGAACATGTATTGACAAAACCAGCAAAGAATGATAGACCTGTGGAATTGGGTTTAGTGGCATAAAATCAATTATAAAACAGACAGCCAGATTTTCCCCTTTGTTTGGCTCGTAACGTAGTGGGATGTTTCGCTCAAAAAAGAAACTTTTACTTCCAATAGAAGCACACAACCAATAATGATAAACCTACTGGATTTTCTTTCAGATATTGACGAGTGTGCTCAAAATACCCACAACTGCAATATGACTGGTAGGGTCTGTAAAAATAAGCCAGGATCATTTAGATGCAGTTGTAAACACGGGTTTACTGTAGACGGGCACAACTGTGAAGGTTTAACAAGATCTCTCGGCATAACCTAGTTAAAAATTAATGCTTACGATGAGTGCATAGTCTGTAATCTGCATAAAAGGTAGCTATCAGAAAATGTTTCCCAATTCAGTTTTCAAATGAGAAGCGAAATTTGCAACTGCTCACAAAACACAAGGAAGAGACAAGGCATTTACAGGTTTTTATTGTGGTCACAGATGTGATGAAAATGCAATCATTTCCTCATCTGCTTTTCTCTCTTGGCTGTATTGAGCTGCGAAGCTCGAAATGAGATCACAAAAAAGGGAGAAGCCTGCCAGGAATATTATTTATGTCAATGGAAGTTTTGGTGTGATAGCGTAGGCCCAGTGAGTATTAACTGAACAATCTTTATCCATGTATATACACATATAGTTAACCCTCTTCCGTGATGACCATTTTTTGCAGGATTCATCAGGAATTCAAATATACTGACAATAAATGAATCTTACCTGGCTTATCTTCATGAGTTCCTGGTCCCTGCCGTCGGGAATAATTCCCACTGGTTGCTATGCTACCGCGCCTCTTTACATGGCTGGGAAGGAGAGGACTTCCACACTCGTTGCGATGGAAAGAAATATACCGTAACAGTTATAAAGAAAAACCAGTATGTTTTTGGAGGCTACACTGACGTTCCATGGGGTAAGTAATTTTTGCCATTTGCAACCCTGCGATCACGATTCCATCCCAAACCACTTAACCTATCGATGTCTCGTCCAACAAACAAACAGACTCAAAAACACGGTCTTAGCTTTCCTTTGCAGCATTCGAAGGGATTCTAAGATTATGTCATTACTTCGTTCCTCTTCGCCGCCTTGTCAGTAGTAGTATGCGAGCAATTATTTACAAACGTGCGCTTCCGTTTTCGGAAAACCAAAGGGTTCGAATGTTAACATGAAAACTACAGGGAGACTGTTCGCTTCGTGAGTCTAGAATTTTAAAGCATTTTGTGTGAAGAGTGTAAAGACACACGTTTTCAATAAATCAATCCCTCCAAATTCATGTCAGAACTTTAACTGAAGCCTCACGATTCAATCTGTTGGACACGAACTCTCATATTTCTGCCATGGTTTTCGTGTGATGATTTTAACCAGGGTTACTGACATCAAGATGAAGGACTTCTGAAAATGGGTATCATAATCCTAACTACGAAATATTGAGCAAGGAGATCATTTCCTTTTAATTCTAATGATCTTTTATCCGAGGAAAAGGAGGCATTCATGGCTAACGGAATCAAAATGTTTTCTTAGCCGATTGTCCTTCGGGAGCAAGAACGAAGGACCCGTCAGGTCGCTGTTGAGTATTTCCTTTCGAGTATGATCAATGTGGGAAATCTATGGAGACTACTTGATGCGCGAATCCAGACTTTAAAAGAGTATCGATCATATCTAAGACGTTTTGTCAATCAGTCACTACCTACCAGTTCATGACTGCACTCATGTTGCAGCTCCTTGAATAAATTTCTAGATGTGCTACCTCAACCGTCCGCGACATTTTTGTAACCAGTTTTTATAACCAGTGTTATAGATGGAAATCACGAAAAGGACTCACGCATAATGCTGCCTTCACTAGTACTTGGTGCAAGTAGATTATGCCCTTTCTATCTTGAAGATTTCGTGAATGATATTTAAAACCGATTATCCGAAAAAAAAGCTATGAATGATGCACTGAATTAGAATGTTTCCTTAGCCGATTGTCCTCCAGGAGCAAGAACAAAGGACCGGTCTGGTCGCTGTTGTGTATTCCCTTTCAAGTATAAAGGCCGTACCTACAACAACTGTACAAAGAGTGGCTCTATTATTGGAAGGTGGTGCTCATTCGAGGCTGTCTTCAAACGTGACTGGGCTTATTGCGGTAAGAATAAATGTAATTTTTCATGAGATATACATATCAATATTTTCCTTTTTCCTTTTTTTTAGTCTCAATAACTCTATGACAAAAAATTTGCAACAAGTAAGTCATTAGATGATTTCCTTCAACTGCGGCTGTCTGTTGCCAGCTTTTATAGAATAAGTAAGCTAAGTAAAAACATTTCTATGAAAGGATTGCAATTTTTTCTCGTTGTCTTGACCTGTAGATGATGATCCGTATGAAGGATATCGTAAGACCGACAAGGCTTTCATTTACTCGCTTGAAAACAAAGAAGGACTGGCGCCGTTCAAGAGTATGGTGAAGCATGGTTCCCAAGCGATCTATATGGGGATAAGCTATGGTCCAACATTTGGCGGTGGTCACGATATTCATATTGCTAACAACGCAGGTCATAATGCTCATTCGTACACCAACTTTGGTCACTCTTTCTTGGCTCCAAGTGAAGTAAAGGAAAAGGTTACAGTGTTAACTGGAACCTACTATTTTACTCCCGATGAAGTAGAGGTGTTTTATCTCCCTTAGAGCTGAAAATACAACTGCAGGTCTATTTCTGTTTCTAAGCCAAGTATTTCGAACTTACACTGTCTCTGCCCACTGAGGAATGTTAATTTTTTTGTAACAGCAACTGCAAGCCGAAATGCTGGGCTGTAATAAGTAGCGATGGATTAACATCCCGTCCACGAAAAGGGTGTAAGCGTGTAATATGCAAGGGTGTACATGCTGTAGTTGCCGTAACCAGGATAAACTCCGAGGTTACTCAGGCCCGATTCATGTGCATACTTCTGTTATTAGAGTTGTAATTGAAGATTCGCTGCCCTGTTGTTGATATTATTATTACTGCATGCCTTAAAGTGAGATCGGTGGTTTGAACTTTTTATTAAGTTTTTATGTCTGATCAAAACCAGGTAATCCAAAAATCATTTTAACAGGGGTGAAGAACAACTTTAATAAATCTTACAGAATAATTGGCAGGGTATTGTAATTTATTTTAGAGGCGTAAAACTAGGATACGTCGCATAGTCATCTTGGAATCTTAATATTACACGTTGAACAAAGTCAGATAACAATTAGAAATCTTCGCGAGATACTTTCTCGGAAAAGCAATTATATGGTAGTTACCACTCACTTTTATGACAGTAGGGGCGAAGTTTTTGTCTTTTCTTGGAGATTTTTGCTGTTTTTGTTAATTCCTTTAAAGGTTTTACATTACCCAAAATGCCAATTATTCTCAGGATATTTGCTTCTAGCTCAACACAGTTATTAGGTGTGTTATAACTAGCAAAATGAGACATGGACGTCAAAATCGCGCTTTAGAGGTGGTCATGAACGCTGCGCAATGCTCACTATTATGATAATAAGCTTATGAAACAAGGAACGTAGCGCTCTATTTTCCTTTCATTTGTTTTGGTTAATCATTTGGCCTTTCTAGTTACGTTTTACGCGTTACGATTTATTGTGCGGTGCGGCTTGAACAAGATTTATAATAAAGTTCGGATATAACGCGCGCTGTCATTGGTTGAAAGAGCGTGCTCTATGAGAGTATAGAGCATAGAGCTGAGCTAAAGCTGTCACGCCATCTGCCAATTGTACTATGTTCGAGCTTTTCCGGAACTTATTTTTAGCTTTTTTCCGATAATTGAAAGTGAAATTTCGGAACTGAAGCGAGCCGACAAGTAGCAACAGAAGAATCAAACAAAGGCTTGTAAACATACCTGGCGCCGTAAATTACGTTATTAAAACGTGAGCAGATACGAAAATCCTCAAAGGAAAAACAAAATAAACATTCCGAGTTTTAAAGATTTTCACGCTCAGTTAGATTGCAAGCTTACGTATGGTAATAAAAATCAAATACAGCTAAACACTCGTATAGTATATAAAGTTCAGTGTTCAAAAACAAAACAGAACAAAACAGAGATGATGAAAAATTTAACCAAACTGGCATAATTGTTAAAATTCATACTAATCATGACGGTGTCTGAGCGAATATGATCATGCTGAAGTTCATCGCGGCTCGCTCATCATGGCGATCTTCGGTCATCACAGTAAAGCAAGCCTCAGAAACTACATCGGCCACCCTTCGAGTGAAAAAATAAGAGCTTGCTCTGATATCCTTTCCGATACATTGAGTGGAAAGTCACATCAGTCACTGCAGCCGAGTTTTGCGGCGCTGTCATCACGAGCGATCTTCATATTCCGGTGAATTCGGCTGTCGTTTACTCAAAAAACACTCGCCTTGAACAGTTTGTTTTCTACCTTGTCGTGTGAAAAAACTCGCGTGTTTTTATTAGCCATAATTCGGCTGAAGTTCACTGAACATTTCACTTCAAGATTCTGTATTAGAGACTTAAAAACTTCAGGCCAAAGTGTTAAATTCGACTTGCCGAAGTACTTTAGTTTGTAAAGTATCATAGAATGTGAACTTTGATGGTTTTTGAACTTTAGTGGTTTGACACTTTTGACAGCTTTTGTCTTGAACAGCCAATCAGATTATTACTCAAGAAGTGGGAAGAAACACTCGACTACGTCTCGTGTTTCTCCCTACACTTCTTTCATGCTCTAGCCGCTTCCTGCCTGCTTTAGAACAGAACAGAGCACAGTCAAGGCTTCTCTATTTGTTAAATAACGCATGTTAACGACCTCGATCCATTTTTTTGGTAATAAAATTGGCAACTTATATCAATAACAACTTTAAGGACCCCAAACTTCTGACTAGTAAAATCGACTTAAACAACGCGATTATAAAACAAAAACACTGACACCTACTGAAGGACTTCATGTTTAACAAAGACCTAACAATATGGCCAAAAACTTGTCAAATTAAAAGCTGTTTTTAACTCAATCGAAACTCTGTTGAATCTGTTGATACTGTGTGACTCTCGCAACTGCAGAGGGAAAAGCCTGCCTCTATATCCTAGGGAAAAGCGATTAAACTTTTCTTTATCAATACTAGGTGCGTGAAAACCTTGTTAAAGTGTCTCATTTTACGGCAATTAATAGTGTAATTATTTTAAATTTTAATTTTAATCTTCAGTTAGTGGACAGGGAGGAATGTGTAATTACACTGCAAACAAAGTTTACTGAAGGACTAGTAGCTAAGGACACTCAACTCTTCATTGAGTTTGTACATTGACAATAATACTTTTTTTCCAATCACGGTACTTTTACCATTCGCATGTCACAACCAGGGAAAGGTGCAAGCGAGCCCTTTTTATAATCTACGTTTTGTGCTCAAAATATGGTCATTAACAGCATCTGCTATCTGTCACGTATTTCATCTTATACAAAGTATCCGACGTGCTGTATGAAAGGAATAAGAACTTAGCGGGATCTCCATTTGCTGTTTACTTTGCCGGTTTAAAATGTGCATAAACCATATTAATAAACGACTTAAGTGCGTAAGCAGGTACCTATTTCATCAAGCACGATAATTTGAATGACATTACCATACAGATAGACAACATCTCTTTTTTAATTAATGAGTATGAGAGAATCAACTGTGATGAAAAAAACAAAGAAATGTACCAGATTAGAAACGAGCGTGTAATTTGCGCACCACTTTACACCTTAATTTAACGCGTTTTAAGAAAAGAGGTTATGATGAAAATTTTCTTCATTTTGTATGATTGTGAATTTCCAACGCATTTTTCTGAGTTTGCGTGTCCTGACCTTAAACTTGAATTCTGTTGGGGTTTTCATTCTGCTCTCAAGTTCCATTCAAATCATTTGCATTATGCGTGTTTGACGCCAGTCATCAGCAGTATTTTCTCGACGACTTCCTCGATCGAGTTTGGAGGAAAATTCAGAGTAAAATTGCATAGAAAGGTTCTGTGAGGACCGAAAACAAGTAAAACAAACTGTTACGGCCGATGGCTTCTTGTTTTGATCGGTTGCTTTAAAAGAGAAAATAGAAGGAAGAGGTTGAGGTTTTAATTAGCCTGCTACAAAGTTATCAGACACCTGCTGTTCAAATGGAAGTGACGTTAGTGAAGCTGTTTTACATAGAACAGCCATTAAGACGCCTACGTGTTATAGAATGTGAAGAGGTGACGTGTGGAGAGAAAATGCAAAGGAGGGTTTGACATTCATTGAGGGTGAAGAGATATTTTGTCAACAATCTCTTTTTATCAAACGGTAGGATATAGTAGATTAGACACTGGCTCAAAAACGTGTAAACGTCATTTCTGTTTTCGAGCCTTTTGAAAAGGGGAGGGAGGATTATTCACCATTGTGTCGAGGTTAATTGCTTGGGTCTGCTTTCTCCCTGTCATTACTTTACAAAACATTTGATTTAAGAGGGAAAACGCTTTGGGTTGTTTATTTAACTAAACGATGTGGATGAACGGCAGCTTCTAAACTCGGTTGGTATTCTACGAATGTCAACTGTAGATTCATCAACAGCGGAGAAGTATGTTGTGTACATTTCGCCTTGTAAAAATCCTCATCTTCGCGTTTCTGATGGAGCTTGTCACAGCTATTGATCAATGCAGGACAGAAGTAAGCATTCAAGGTATGGCTCTCAAGCTTTCCGTCTTCAAAAGATGGTCATTGGCGGCTCCTCACCTCTGCGATATCAAATGTGAACAAGAAATCGGGTGCCAAAGCTATAACTACAACAGAAAATACAAAATATGTGAACTAAATAACCGCACTAAGGAGGCAAGACCACAGAATTTTCTTTCAGCCCCTTCATGGTTTTATATCCGACGATTGAACGGCAGAGGTGAGAATTAAAAAATCTGTTTAACTTTCAGATCTATTTCTTCCCCTTTAACTCAAAAGTGGCTTAAACACCCCGCGGCATAGCTCGATAATAATTGCTTTTCAGGTGAAAACAGCGAAGATTGCCTAAAAAAATGGGCGCTAATCCGTTTTGGCGATATTTTTTTGCCTCTCCTCATCGAATTCGCTTACGACCAAGCTTGTTTAGCCTTTCACCTAAGGAGTCTTTTCCTCTTCACAGTCTAGTTTTATACGCAGCAGATTGCAACATCTCCACATGCAACTGAAATTAGGAGATGTTTACGCGATTAAAATTAAAAAACAAGGCGGTTTTGCCGCGAAAAATATTTTGGGAGCCGTGATGCAATGATGAAATGTTTTAATTGGCTGTACTCACTTTTGGGGAATCAGAGCTAAGATAGAAAAAACGTTTCAATAAATGATATGCGCTCGTTTTGACATGTTACCCAACTTTTTCCTGGCAACTTTAGTTCAAGTACCAAGGCTTAGCTTCTCATGAAGAAAAAAATCTGTAAAATTGGCCCTTTAAAGTTTACCGTATTCGTAGCTTTTTTCCATTCTTAATCAATTCTGTGCCTCCTTTCTTGATTTTAAAAAGAAGAATGAAACGTATATCTTTATTGCAGCACCCTTAGGTTCTATCCCTGAATTACCAGCATTGTCCTGTCACGAAATAAAGGCAAGTGAAGGTAAAGACACCATCAGCGGCAAGTATTGGCTGGATCCAATTAGCACAGGGAAGGCAACATTGGATTACTGTAACATGGTTAACGAGGGTAGGTCTTTTAAGAAGACATTCGAAGATTTTCTAAGGATACAATACTTATTTTAATATGGTGTTGTAGAAAATCCTTTCATATGTATATCAAAGATAATGAAACCTCGACTGTGCTCTGTTCTGTTGTAAAGAACGTACAAGCAGTTAGAGCACGTAAAAATGTAGGGAAACACATGATAGAGCTGAGTGCTGTCCCTCTTCCTGGCTGTTGGTTGATTAGCGATGTTTTAATCTTATTTGAAAACAATTTTATTGACATTAAATAGTGTTCTTATAACATTTTCAAAGGTGGATATAGATATCACCACAGATGTTGATTGGGATTGCGATGTTTTAATCTTATTTGAAAACAATTTTATTGACATTAAATAGTGTTCTTATAACATTTTCAAAGGTGGATATAGATATCACCACAGATGTCGATTGGGATTTAAAAATAGATAGTCAGAATATGATCTGACACTCAGAGCATTGCACTACACACAATTTGCAATCTGCAAAAAAAAAACTTCTATTAAACATTTGAACCCTGATACGTGCACGTTTTAAGTATCGCGACAGACGTGATGAATAAGTGACATTTTCATTTTTTTGCGTCTTGGCTTTTTTCAGATTCTAGGTGCTGAGTGTACAAAGAGGGGAAATGATTTACTAGGAACAAGCAAAACCCAAGGGAAATTTTCTTAATTGTGTTGTGGTGTTACAAATTAGCTTTAGTAAATATCAACTGCTGATACATATATATAGTAAGATATCCACGTATTTCATTTCGACTGTTGCAGGATACATTAAGAACTCAAACATACTGTCGAGAAATGAAAGTTACCTCGCATTTCTTCGTGAGTTCCTGGTTCCTGCTGTTGGAAATGATTCCCATTGGTTGCTCTGCTACCGCGCCTCTTTGCATGGCTGGAATGGTAGGGACTTTCATACTCGTTGCGATGGAAAGAAAAATACTGTAACGGTTATAAAGAAAGACCAGTATGTTTTTGGAGGGTACTCTGATGTTCCATGGGGTGAGTAATTTTCGACTTCTGCAACCCAGCAATCACGATTTCATCCCAGACCAGTCAACCTATCGATTTCTCATCCGACAAACAAACAAAGAGACTCAAAAACACAGTCTTAACTTTCCTTGGCAGCATTTGAAGAGATTCTAGGATTATGTCGTTAGTTCGTTCCTCTTCACTGCATGCGAGTATAGTATACGAGCAATTATTTAAAAACGTGCGCTCCCATTTTTGGAAAAGCAAAGGGTTCGAATATTAATGTTAACATGAAAACTACGAGGAGACTGTTCGGTTCGCGGGCCTAGAATTTCAATGCATTTTGTGTTTAGGCACGCGTTTTCAATAAATCAATACCTCCAAATTCATGTCAGAACTTTAACTGCAGCCTCACGATTCAATTTGTTTGACACGAACCCTCATATTTCTGCCATAGTTTTCGTCTAATGATTTTAACCAGGGTTACTGACATCAAAGGGACTGCTGCAAATTTGCAAATATGGAATAAAAACAGGTATCATAATCCTAACCCCGAAGTATTGAGCGAAGAGATCATTTCTTTTTTATCATAATTATCTTTTATCCGGGAAAAAGGAGCCATTCATGGCTGACGAATTCATGTTTTCTTAGCCGATTGTCCTCCGGGAGCAAGAACAAAGGACCCGTCAGGTCGCTGTTGTGTACTTCCTTTCGAGTATGAAGGCCGTACGTATCACAAGTGTGCTGGGAAAGTACCGGGAAATTTTGAGAGACCGTGGTGTTCATTCGATGCTGTCTACAATGGTGACTGGGCGTCTTGTGGTAAGAAAGAAGGTTCTTCTCCATAATGTATACATATTAGTATTTTTCTCTCTCACTTGTTTCAGTTTCATTACCTTCATGACAAAAATATGCAAAGCATAAGTATTTTTATGGTTTCTTTCAACTTAGACTGTATGTTATCAGCACTATTGAGCAGCTTTAGGTGAGAAGAAAAGCAGGATACAAAAATATAACCAATAAAAAGGTTGCAATTTTTGCTTATTGTCTTGACTGTAGATGAAAATCCATATAATGGATATCGCAAGACAGATAGGGCTTTTATTTATTCGCTCCACAACAAAGAAGGACTGGCGCCGTTTAAGAGTATGGTGAAGCATGATTCCCAAGCCATTTTTATGGATATAAGCCATGGTCCAACGTTTGGTGGAGGCTTCGATATTCATATTGCCAACAACGCAGGTCATAATGTTCATTCGTACACCAACTTTGGTCACTCTTTCTTGGCTCCTAGTGATGTAGAGGAAAAAGATACAGTGTTAGCAGGAACTTACTATTTTACTCCCGATGAGGTAGAAGTGTTCTATCTCCCTTAGAGCTGGAATTACAATAGCAAGTCTATTTCTGTTTCTAGGCCAAAGGGAAAAGCCTGCCCCTAAAGCCTGGGAAAAGCGATTAAACTTTCCTTTATAATACTATGCGCGTGAAAACCTTCTAAATTGCCTCATTTTATTGCAATTCATAGTGTAATTATTTTAACTTTTAATTTTATTCCTCACTCAGTGGACAGGGAGAAATATGTAATTACAGTGCAAACAAAGTTTACTAAAGGACTAGTAGTTAAGAACACACAATTTTTCATTGATTTTGTACATTGACAATAAAACTTTTTCCAATTGTGGTACTTTTACCCATGTCACAACCTGGGAAAGGTGGAAGAGAGCCCTTATTATTATAATTACGTTCTGTGCTCAAAATATGGTCACTAACAGCATCTGCTATATGTCACGTATTTTATCTTACGCAAAGTTTCTGGTGTGTTCCATGGCAGGAATAAGAACTTAGCGGGATCTCCATTTGCTGTTCACTTTGCCGGTTTAAAATGTGCATAAACCATATTAATAAACAACTAAAGTGCGTAAGCCGGTAACTGTTTCATCAAACACGATAGTTTGAATGACATTACCATACAAATAGACAACATCTCTCTTTTTAATTAGTATGAGAAAATCAACTGTGATGAAAAAAACAAACGAAAAAGAAATGTATTAGATTCGAAACGAGCTTGTAATTTGCGCACGATATTTGCACCTTAATTACACGTGTTTTAAGAAAAGACGTTATGATGTACAGCTTGTATGACAGATTAATATGAAAAAAACCCAAACACGTTTCAAGAAAAACATTCACGCGCGAATTCCTTCAAGCGATAAATTACTTTTGAAAAGTTGAGGGAGGATTATTCACCATTGTGTCGAGGTTAATTGCTTGGGTCAGCTTGCCTTTCCCTTGTCATTACTTCACAAAACATTTGATTAAAGAGGGAAAATGTCTTGGGTTGTTTATTTAAAAAAAAAATGTGTATGAACGGCAGCTTCTAAACTCGGTTGGTTTTCTATGAATGTCAACTGTAAATTCATCAACAGCGGAGAGGTATGTTGTGGGCATTTCGCCTTGTAAAAATCCTCTTCTTTGCGTTTTTGATGAAGCTTGTCCAGCTAATGATCTTTTTATTTATTTTTTATTCCATTTTCACTGCAGTTACATCGTCACATGATAAAATGACAATAATAATAATGATAATATTAATAATTAACATATCAATTAATAAAACTCTAAGTCCATAACAAAGCAGTGGGGTAGAGTAGAAGGGAACTGACGAACCATGCGTGCTAGTCAACCCATTATAAGAAAAGCTAACTTACTAACTAACAACCTTAAGATAACAACAATAATGATAATAACAGTATTAATAGTTACAGTATCAATCAATTAATAAAAAATCTAACACGTTATAAAAATAATAACTTACAGACTAGCAACCTTACTAACTAACTGCTGATTTTTTCCCAGGTGGTATGAGGGCGCTCAGGGTCAAAGGCCTTATCTTTATAGAAGGTAGTGCATAGTTTCTTAAAAGAAGAAACACTGAAATTGGCAGTCCTCAGCTCATCTGGTAAATTGTTCCATAGATATGGAATCCTGTTAAAAAATGTTTCCTTAAAAAGTTCCTTCCTAACTCTATTCGAACCCACCGAGTTCTCTCGGTAGTTTCTTGGTGGGTAGGAATAAAACTCAAAAGTTTTGTCATCAGGTTTATGATATCACCAAAAAAAAAAAAAAAAGAAGAAAAAAAAAACCCAAAACAAAAAAATACCGTTCTTGCCTGGAGATCATCAGGAGGCCTACTGGCATGGTTGAGCTGGGGCAGGTGAAGAGGTTTAGGCTCGAGACCTTACCGGGTCATGAAGTGGTCCCAGGAACTTCCAGAAGAATCCATGAAAAAGCATACTCGCTCGAAGAGGGGTAGGCATAGGTTCAATACATATCGTTCTTTTCTTCGAGTATCGTTTTGGCATTTGTTTAAAATCTATCTGAGGCTAATATTTCCTTTTAGCATTTTTCTTGCAATCGGTTGCAACTTTATTCGTTGCAAAGTTAACAAAACTGTTTTTACATCCCCAGGAGATGAATACTACAATTGTTTGCTAACAAAATATAAGTTTTCCACGAGTCCTGACTGCTTTTCTGATCTAACCACTCCTTGATTTGTCGTGAGAAGGAATGAGACGAAAAAAACAAAAAGAAAAAGAAAATACACAGGAAACAACTTGCAGAAATTTTCCCTTTGAGGGAAAATTAGTTTCGTGAAATTAATCCCAATCGAAAAGAAGTCATCGGGAAAACTAGCCTTCAAGTTACACGAAATTCACTGCATAATTATGATCAATACTTAACAGTCCTTAGAATTTACCAAAATTGTCAAAATAGTTAGGAGTTCTCGAGCAGACTGAAGCGCGGAAGATTGTCTGCTTTTTCCTAACTTTATCTTTGAGATTTTACCTGTAAAAAAAAAATAGACAAATCATGTTTTTGTTTTAGGCCTAAAAACAACTATTCGCAACCATTTTAAATGAGTATTTCGATAAAAATCTAACAAAAGTTTTGTGTAATACCACATTTAAATTGCACTAAAAAATGCAGGGTCTCTTTTTTTTGTTTCCTAAAGAATGACGGTATTTTTAAGAGTGTTAAGGTAAATTTGATCCTGAATCGTTCCTTACTTGTGAACAATAACACAGCCGAGAAGTTACCTGTCAATGCAAATAGTTTATTGACGATGCAAAGCAAAATAATGTTTTAATTTATCTCGTCTATATATTTCGAGAGAATATTTACATTTTTTTAGTTGCCCCGTCTTATTAGAGGCGTACAGAATCACTTTTTAAGCTATTTTTCTCTGTTTTGTTTTCTTTTGGATGAAAATATTGGTACTTCTTTTTAACATCCTATCAATTATTCTCTTCCGATGCCGCCGAAAGAAGTGAGTAATCACGCAAAGCACCGCTTGTCAGAAAAAAAATTAACAATGCTAATGTTGAGTAATAAAAATGATAATAATAGCAACGAAGATAATGGTAAAAATACTCTTTCTATATGCGTATGAGATTATGGACTATTTGGTAGTTCCAGAAGTTTAACCAGTTAAAAATATGAGTTTTCAAGAAATATTGACGTTTATGAAAGGATAACAACAAATTTTAACACGGTCTTAACTTTATCAATATACTTCATAAAAAACTACTTGGAACATTAAAAATCCCAGAAAATCAACTTGAACTTGAACAGCTTGAACTTCAAAACAAAAGAAGACGAAATTATAAATTATATTGAAAAGTTCGTTCCAGAAGCCATTTTTCATCTTACCGACAGTTTGGAAAACTGACGCCGGAACAAGAGAAAACAAGAGAATAGAGCTTAATAACTAAATACATATGCCAAACGCTAAAAACTCTTGGAATGTATGCAATTCAAATCAATTCAAACAAGTATCCTACTTAAAAATTAATTCGAGCGAGGTGATTCTAAATCAAGGTATAACGAAGAAAAATGGAGCTGATATTGGTGTTGGAATTTTGGAGGTAGTTCCCTCACAAAGCAGAGGAGAACTTGATTGAGAATAATGAGTGTCAAATATATATCAGAGAGGCCGTCTCAGAAATTTCTGCTCGCTCTAAATATTTTCGCCTGTCGGTTTTTACCTTTCCTAAAGGATTTGTCTTCGCTTTCGGTGTTAATAGCACAATTCCGTAAATTTGGCAATTGTAGAATTGAATTTTTTTCGGAAATTGAACTTTTTTTTTTGCATACATTATTAAAACGGGAAATTAAAATAAACATGTTCTGTATCTCATTAAAATTATTAGGTCAGATCTGACGGGTGTAAGACATCAACTTACTGCCATTTAGCATTTGTGTTTTACTTGGAACATAAATATAGAAGCCTGACATCAATTCAAGGAGTGAGAATGGAGAGTTCTGTGCTGCTCGTTTTCGTGACTGGGACTGCGCTGTTGACCCACCCGACGTTTGCAATTGGCGAAGGTGAGGAACAAACTTGACTCAGTTTTGTTCCAGTGTATTTACTTGTAGTTGATACTCAATTTCGGAGCGATCGTCAACAAAATTGCGAGTATATAAACGAGTTGATCGAGTTCATCATGAGTTATCAAGAAAAATTTCGAATCCCGAATAAATTCACTTTCTTCCATTTGATAATGACGGAATCTTTTCAAGCCCGTTTTTTGCTTTAAAGAAAATTTGTCATTTCCCTTCAAAAAAAATTTAAAAACGAGTAACAAAACAAACCTGACAAGTTAGGATTAGCAACAAAGGCAACTTAAGATTAACTTCATGCCTGTCAACTATATTTATATTGTCATGATCACCATTGAAGACCTCACACGCTAATGTCGTAAATTTCATTTTAGTTTGAAACACTGAATCTTTATGGAATCGCATAGACACAGATTTGTTGCCGCTCTTTACCGAAATCGAAAACTGTTTTGGCATAAGACACAGGGCCAATGGCGGAATATAGCCTTAGATAGCATTTACATTATCATGCATTTTTTAGGCCGGAACATAACATTTATCCATCACAAAATGTTGATCAGCGGATATTTCTGATTAAAGAGAAGTTCTTGAGTCGAAAACTTTAAGAATACGTTTTGAAGGGGGTATTACCCTAAATGTAAATTTTCCTGTTAAAATTGCGCAGGTGACTTCGATCAATATAGACTTTCTTCACACTATTTATGAAACTGCAACGTTGCGCTCGTTGAGATCTGCCATTCATTCAAAAGACTTATGTGTCAGAAGCCATAATATCTTTCTTTAATCTTCTCTCTCTTTACCATTCAATGCTCTAATAACAAATTTTCAACAAAAGATAAAGGATAAATTGCCGATTTTATTTGTTCATCAAGTCACCCAGAAAACTGTGACATTTAACGGGTGGTAGTAAGTTTATCAATATTTGGTAGCCATTATGGGCCAAAAATTGAAAATTTGACAATTACTCGTACGAGAGTAA